TACTAGCTATTCGTATATCGTTTAGTAACAAGTAATAGTATAAAATCTTGTGAAACCCTCAAGAGAAGAGGGCGTGACATAGCCAATCAAATTTCGTAGATCATTCTAGAACTCGGATTTTCAAATCTAGAACTCAATTCCAAATTTGGTAAAATCCCGGACTGAATTTTATATACAAAACTTATAAAAACTTAGAAATTTTTAAAAAACATAATAAAAACATATAATCGGTGCAAAACACCATAGGTGCGTTTTATAATAATTGAGAAATAATAATATGTAAATTATGGCTGCGTAGTTTAATGATTATCTATCTGTTTGTATCATGTGCTGACAATATGGATTCTGATTGATTGAAAAATAAGAAAGTTTTCCGTGCTAGAATTTAATTAAACGTTTCCCCGCATAAAGCACATAGGGTACCGAATATTTTTCTCTATTTTACCCATCTTAAAGCACCAGATTAAGTTTCAAGTTGTTTGGTTGTTTATAAGCAGATAAATATATAAAAAAGAATCTATTAATATCTTATTTAAGGATTTATGAAGATAACAATTAATCTTTCATCAATCTATTATGGTGCAAATTATCTAGACATCCAACTTGCGACTTTTAACGAGTATTTGCAGATTTTTTTTAAAATACGAAATTTTCAAAGATTAATATGTTAGGCGACTTAGCACTAATCAGATGCGACTAGATAACATAATAAGTCTTATATACTATATATATAAATTTATATTATTACCGTTACTAATTAAAAATTTTATTCGGTGATTTCTATGGAAGTTGTACGTAATACGTATATATATTATATTATAATATATAACTTATGCAGTACATAACAGATAACGATAACTACGTACGTACGTACGTATCAATTAATGAATTAATGAATTAAGAAGCTTGTTTTTAAACAAAAATAGAAGGTACGTACCACCATTGATGATGATAAGTTCAGTACGTAGTCGATAAATAGTGGGTTCATGTGATACACTATAATGATAGAAATATACCAATACTTTTAATACATGCATTGAACAACTAGTCACGATATTGCTTATGATGACAGGTATCTAATATGAATTATTAAGAAATGACGAATTTTGATGACAGATTATAACAAGTCTACTTTGGTATATTACAGATAAAATTTTAAAAGCCGAAAGAATAAAATCGTTATTACGATAATTTAAAGTTTATGGATAGATTTAAAGAATAATCAAGTGTTAAGAATGATTAGAAATGATCAAGTGTGATTATGAGTGATAAGTCGTTGTTTTAAATGACATAGAAGTGGATCGAAATGATATCATGCTATATAAATTCTGAATTTTAATGACCAAATAACCAATGTGTTTCGTATTTGACTGTCTTTGTTACACTTTATCATTATTCTCTAACTGAATTACAGAATATAAAATCCTGTCCTTTTTTTTTTTTTACACTTAGAATTCCCAATTGCTTCAGTTTATGAATTCTTTTGTTTCTAAAATTTTATAAAATTCTTTAAACTTGCCAGATGTCATTACAAAATTTTGTTGATCCACCCATGCAACATTCCTCGGTGATCAAAAATGACTTCTCCTTGGTAGTAAAAGATTCCGATGACCATTGGATTGTAGACTTCCTTAATCTATATGGATATCATGTCCAAAAATCTTCTTCGGCAGAGTCTTCAAAATTCTCTATCGTTACCCCGAAAGTTGTGCGTGACATTATCCGAAATAAGGAATTACATCTTCCTCCAACTTGTCACTCCTTGGCTGATAGAAATGCTTACATCATTCTCCTATTAAGATTTGTCCTTCGTGATCGTGCCTTCACGGAATTAACTGGTGTACCCCTTGTTCCTGTTAACTGCATCTCTTATTCCGCTTTCGGTACTCAACAATATTATTTGGCTCTCCCTTCGGATTTACAATTCTTTCCAACTGTTGGTTGCTTTGTCTTGATCACCGTAGAATTACCCGATGACGTTAAATCTATTTTTGAATCAGCAGAATTTCAGTCCGTGAACAAGATTAAAAAATTGGATCTCAATGGTTTTTACTGCCTTTTTCGTCATGAACTTCCTCATGCTCCAATTCGTGACTGGGATCCTGATACAACTACCTCTTTTCTCAATAAACGTTGGCTTGAAAATTTTTGGGAAAGAATTTCTCAATTTGATGTTCAAGATTTAAAATTGCTTGGAAATTATCCTCTCATTCCTATAATTACTTCTACTTATAATAATTATCATATTTATGAACTCATTTCTGTAAAGAATGATCCTCCTATATTGAGATTTCCCAAGAGAAAAGATGATGTAATAGATGTCTTGAGAAAACTTGGTGTTCTTTTCACCGAAGATTATCGGATAGATATTACGAAAAAATTTATTTGGGATTGGAATCCTTCAATGGTCGTTAAGGCTATCGATAAATCTCGTTCTATCAATAAAACTAGTATGGATTCCTTGTTTCAACATATTTGTGACGACGAAAAAGATAAGCTTCGGGATTATATTGTCGCAAATGTGTGCGAGTTGTATCGGAAAGGTATTTTACTAATTAATTAATTTATTTATTTATTTATTTATTTATTATTACCATCTTATTAATTACAAACTTATTATTATTATTTTTTTTATCTAGACCGATTTATCGATGAAAATATTAAAGATATTTTACGTCAATTCCCTATTTGGCCTACTTATTCCGCTGATGGTAGTTACATCGCTGCTTATTGCGGTTGTCTGGTTCCGCACGGTCTTCCATATTTCCAAGTTAATTTGTCAAGTTCAAAGACTAATTATATTAATTATAAGAATCCTGATGAAAAAATTTTATTGAAAAGATTAGATGTTGTCGAATCCAGTTATATTCATTATCTATTTTGTATTTTCAAGAACCTTGACTTTGTTCGACCTGATGACCCTGAATATTTGGAATTTTTAAAAGAATTCTTACGTCTTCCTACTCAATTACATCCAAATTGGTTGTCTGAATATCGTTTCATTCCTAATAGTACAAAATCTGAATTGAGGCTTGCTAGAGAACTTTACGATGATAGAGTTCTTCTGTTCACTACTGTTTTTGCTGGTTCTGATGTGTTTATTGCTCCTGAACTTCGTTGTGGTTGGTTATCCAAAGGTCTAGTCGGTTTGGGCTTTCATGATAAAGTTGATGATGACACTTTCATAAGATTGGCTTCTGAAATTCATCATTTATATAATTCTCCTTCTCCTCCTTCCGATTTATTCGATCGTGCTAGAATGTTAGTTCTTCACTTTTATTATAATGTTGATGATCTTAATTTCACTTGTAATAGATGGGATGTTCTCAAATCAATTAATTTTATCCCATCAAAGCCTGTGGATTATCCTTATCTTGAAACTGCAAAATTCAAGACTCCTAAACTTTGTTCTTTAAATTCTCTTCGTCTACCTAAACACATGAAATTATGTTGGACTCAATGCGCTTTTTACGATGATCCTGTAATTCCTCCTGAAAGTGTATTGAATATTCATAGTGATCTTGGCGAATTATTCTTTCATGACGTAATGGATCAACTCGTTGCTATTAAGGAAAATATTGTTGATAAGCAATCTGATGAATGGAAAGGACATGGTGCTCCTGAACTTCTTTTTACTATTATTAATGGACTTTATGAATGGTTAGAAGATAATTTGCTATTAATGAAACGTATAGGTGAAATTGGTGAACAATGGTTCATTGGAGACCTAAAATTAAGTCTTCAAAAAAATTCTACAATATTTCTTAATGGAAATGACCCTTTCGATTTGGAAAATTGGACTTCTGCAACGAATTTAGTCTTAAACATAGATATCGATGTAGATTGTCACAAGAAAGCTGCAAATAAAAATCTCGCTCCATATGGTAATTTATTACAATTATGTGGAGCCTATAATTTTAATCCGGCAACTCCTATGAATTTCGATGTTCCACATACAACATTACGAAGGGACAATATTGTTAACAAATTGTGTAGATATCTTAATTTTACTCAAAATTCTCCAAATTCTAACCGTTTAATCGCTGGCCTGGAACGATTCCACGATATTTTTTTCAACATCCGTGGTGAATTAATAGGTACATCTCGATTTTTACTTGCTGCAACTTGTCCTCATTTTGAAAGAGCATTTTGCGCTGGTACTTTGGAATCTAAACTTGGGGAACATGTATTTCTTCCTCGCGTTGATGATATACACCCGGATGCATTTCGTGTACTTCTTAAATACTTGTACGGAAAAGACCTTAATGATATCATGAGTGAAATTAGATATGAGCCAGGTCCAGATGAAGATGAAATATCTTTTTATTTCAATCGTTACATTGAATTGCTGAAATATGCTCAATTATATGAGCTTAACGATCTTGCACTATCAGTTCAATATCAAATAATTCAAGATCGTTTGGTCCTACCACAAAATATTGTTGAGATATGGGAATGGTGTCAGAATACAGAAATTACTGCTCCATATCTAGCTGAATATTGCGAAAAGTGTATAAAGGATAATACGGAATTATTATTTGATCTACGAATTCATGATATTGAACAAGAAATTCCAGATAAGAAGCAACGCGCAGCGGCTATTTTAGAATTGGAGGGGAAGTTTTGGAAGTGGCGTGAACTCAATTTGTTAAAAGATATGTCGCCTCCAATATATTATGATGAAGATCCTCCGATAACTTTTGATAATGAATCCGGTTGGGGAAGAGAGTGTAGTTCTGCTCTTGAATGGATATGATTTTTTTTCTAAACATGTTGACTGATAAATACAAATTAATCTCTTTTTTACAAATTTGTTATTAGCATCATGTCTTTGCTTTTTTTTTTCTTTTTTTTTTTTTTTTTTTTTACTATGCAAATTAGATGCATTTTATCAATACATTAACATGGCCTTATATTCACCTTTCATTATATTTAGATTCATTTTTCTGTTCATGCATTTTTATGTGTTTCTTATTATCAAAATCTTTATTACGTTTGCCAAATGGCACCCACTCTTCTTTTTTTCTTCTTTTACTTATAACATTCACACTATTCTTTTTACTTTGAGGCGGTTATACATTTTACAATAAAATCGATTCTACATGAACTGGCTAGAACTTTTTCAATTCTTAATATGTTTGTAATTTTGTCAAATTTTAATTGCATTTTTATTAAACCTGTAATAATATTATTTGAATAAATTTATTAACTTGAAATTTAATACATACATATCTTATGTGTATGGTAATAATTTTAATTACTACAATTTATTGTTTATTAAACTTGTGCAGTATATATACAATCCATTCTCACTATAGTGAAGTGACGATAAAAAAATTCTCCATATCGAGTTTTATTAGTAAATTCGCTATACCGAGAAATTTCATGTAGACTGACTTTAAGTTTAGTCTTCACTGTATATTTTTAATGATAATAGTAAAAATTATTCAAGAAAATCTTTTTGGTCGAATACAAAGCTAAAACTAAGTTGTGCATGATTTGAAATAGCATACCTTGGGCTAAGGATAAGGATAGAGTAAGCGGCATAGGGAAATTTTAAAGTATGTTCCAAAAAAAAGTCTCAAATTGACATCTCACTTAACATGCCTCAAATAAATCTCTCGTGTGGTTGAATTTACTTACCCGTAAAATCTCGAAATGGACGTTATTTCGAAAATCACGCCCCTAAAAATAGCATATGTACAGTAGATTCAAAATAACGCCCATGCGCGTCCCAAAATAAAACGCGCCCCCCACTATTACGTATTTTGAAAAAAGCCAGGTTCAAAAATAGGGATGTTAAAAAGTCCGTTCGGTCCGGTTCTTGAAAAGTCCGGAGCATACAATATAGATAATCTTGAAAACAAAATGCCAAAAGTATTCATTATTCCCTTTTACGTATTAAATTTTATCTGGACTAGTTTCAGACCTGCCCTAAAAAGTTCAGTCCCAAACCCAATCCGAACAAGTCCTTTGTGGGCTATTTAACATCCTATTCAGAAAAATCAGCCTATATACATTCGAAATAACGCCCATGGGCGTAATCGAAATAGCGCTCAGATGCGCTATTTCGAGATTTACGGCATAAGAAACTTATTACATGTCTGATTAATATATGCGAAACCAGCCACTGGGCCAACTTTATTATATAGAAGTACTAGATAACAAAATACAGAATATAATATAACTCTAAATAATCTTATTTTTGGAGGAAGATTACAGTAGGGTTTGGACGAACGTTTCTAATCATTCTCTTTCCATATTCCACATCCCTCGGAACATTTATGGTATGGAAATTTTCCATGAACTCCTGTATCTAGATATGGAAAGAATGCATTTTATATTTTTTTGTAAGGCTTCTAATGCAAATAAATATAAGTTTGTTATTTAAGCCAAAATACCAACTATACTTACTATAGAAACTTCTGTCACTTGGAGATGTACCTCACGATAGATGATATCATCTTCGCGCGAATTGCATCATATCTCGCACGAAGTAAATTTTTAACTAAGATAAAAAAGATTAGAATTATCATCAAAATCTATAATCTTGGATGTCATTTCACACTTCGTACGAAGTCATATGATTTGTGAATGTATGCTACAGTATCTATCTTTTCTAAATTTTTTACTATCCCCGAATCATCAGTTAGTATCATGTTTGCATCTGGACCTCTCCAAGTATACTCTGATCTACAGTAAAACCTCCATAAATGCACCTTCTATAAGTGCCCACCCTCTCTAAATGCATACTCAAATTCGGGCCCGACTATATATAGATGACCTCCATAAATGCACTTTTTCTTATTGTTGTCTAAGTGCACGTTGTTAAAGTTTGGTTCCAAGAGCATGCACTTACAGAGGTTTTACTGTATCGCCAGGAGCTTAGTTTCTCTGTACTTACTACATGCCCCAACCTTTACATATGTATGTATTTTACAACGTATATGTTCCAAATATAAGCAAAAGATGGAGTTTTGGGCCGAGGATAATTTAGTCCTGGCCGTAGTTCCCTGTAATAATTCATATATTCCATTGTAAATAATGTAACGCATAGTTATTCAATAAAGACCGTGGCCAGGCCTCACTCTTTAAAAAAAAATATATATATATATATATATGGGCTAAGTGTTGAGAAAAGGGACAAAATTGACAATTTTTTTAAAAGGCATTTTTTTACATAAATCAATTTAGAATAAGATTAGAATCATTTTTCACTTAAGACACAAAAGTAGTTGTATTAATAA